GTCTTTGTTCATATTACTTCTCTCAAATATTGCTCGTCATGAATCAGGTGTCATTGCTTTAAATAAACTGAATACAATCAAGATACTAAAACAATTTAAGGCAAAATATTCATCTACTTTAATTAAACTTCAAGATGTTAATACTTCATACTATATGATGTATGCAGCATTATTAGAACCAAACGAATTGAAAAATGATACCGATTCGATGGTAGAAACAGTAATTGATTATATATTTAGCGAAATAATTTATGCATTTGAATCACCCTCATTATACAGTAAAACATACCATGTCACTGAACTTTTAGTCTTACTATCAAAACTAGTAGTTAATGATAAATGCATTCAATATATTTTGAATCAAACGAAAATTAATGCATACGATTATTTCATGGAAAAGTTTATTCAATACAATAAAATCAAGATAGTTGACGAATTGATAGAATTAATTTGTTTAACATTATTCAATATATTTTGGAGTATTAGTTTTCAAAATGGTTACGATAAAAAATTAAAAGTAAATATACAATTTGTTGATATTGTTCAAGTAAACCAAAATAATACAATTTTAGGTGTAAAAAATGCAGCAAAAGGTATTTTATCGAATCTTGATATTAATCAAAATTTGATTACGTCTAATATCGTTTCATCAATTGATGAGAATGACATGAGTATTATGGTATCGTATTCACATCAGGATAGAGATTTTTGTCAAAAACTTGTATCGAATTTAAAAGAGAAAATAAGTAATGTGTGGGTCGATTATGAAAGACTCAAATCGAATGAAGGCTGGGAAGATGTTGCGAATGCTATAACACAAGCAAAAATTATCTTAATAATTGCAACACAAAATTATTGTGCATCAAACTCGTGTCGTCAAGAAGCGATATATGCATACACACAGGGCAAAATAATTATACCTCTTTTTCTCTCCCGAGATTATCAACCCGAAAAATGGTTAGCAATACGAATTGAAAATGTAGCATATATCCGATTTAATACGGATTTATTTGAAAAAACGTTTTCGAAGTTGGTTGATCTTATCTTTATGAGTGAGAAAAAAAGATCGACTGATAAATTAAAGCTGAATCACGCAGTAATTTCTACGAAACCAATAGCACTTACTCTTATCAACGAGAAAATACTTTCGAAAAAAGAAATTAACGTGCAACAAGTTTCATTAGAACATACAGCATCATTTCTATCGTCATCATCACATTTAACCAACAAATCTGTACACAACTGGACATTTGATGACGTAAAACAATGGTTTCGGCAAGAAAACTTACCAACATCTTTGTGTTCGTTATTTTCATTCAAAAATGGTAAGAGAACATGTGTTAAGAATGTTCGTTTATATTTTTTATTTCCATCCTCTTGTTCTTCTTCATCGTGAACGTTACCTATATCATCTGAATCACATTTGTTTGGGATATCGTTAATGAATAAAATTCAATGCATTAGTGATTTATGCAAAATTATTATTGAATGATAAATCAAAAATTCATAAAGAATACGATATTTTATCGAGTCGTTTATATAGGGAACCATTTTATTGGGATCATTACTCAAATTTTATCAGTTCATTGGAAAATTTAATACAACGGAAATCAATTTATTCGTGGACACCGAATGATATTCAACAGTGGTTTAATGAACAAAATTTACCATCTTATTTATGTTCAATGTACAGTTTTTCTAACGGAAAATCACTTGTTACTTACGCTCAACTTTTAATGAAAGTTGAAGTAGACAATGAATATAACCGATTAAAAAAACGTGTGAAGAGCGAATATAATAAACAATTTTATCCCGATGAATATGCAAAGTTGTTTACTGCAATGACTAGTCTGGTAAACAATACTAAAAATGAAATAAGAAGAGAAGAACAGTTTAGACAGGACAATGGTATACAATCATGCAGAATTTTGTAGTATCTATCTTGAGAATAATTTAAAATCGATAACTAACTCATTTGCTTTTTAACAGAATAAACAAGAAGTTTCAATTTACCTTTTTTCACTATGACATTTATTACTTCTGTGATAAAACGAGAATCATTTTTATTATTTAGACTGCTCTCTCTTTTTTTTTATACGTACGGTGGTTCTTTTTCGTTAAAAGACCCAAAACAAAACAAAAAACATTTTTGTACAGACACAATAATATTTTCACTGTGAATATTCATCACTCATGAGTAACTGTTTTTATATAGACAGACATAGACACATTACACAATTTTTCGTTAAAAAGAAACATAAAACAGTATACAAAATAATCTCTTTTTTTCTATCATGATCAAAGTAGAAACAACATCAACATTAAAACAAAAAGAATGAGATGACAAACAGAAGAAAAAAAAAAGAAAGAAGAAAACGTTCCTTCTAATACTACGAGTTATAAAAACAAATACGCATGCATAAATTACATTATGCAAAATGAGTTAATTACATTGCGTAAAAGTAGTATTAATTTTATTGACACATTTGGAAGCAAAATACCGTTTTATTAGGTGTTGTGATGTTTCGTGGGAGTGAGACAGTACAACTTAGAGAGTTATTGCATAGGTTAAAAAAAAACAGAGAAAAAAAAGTATAAAAACAAAACCATCACTGTGAGTCTGTTTATATCACAGTAATTATTGCCGATAAAAAAAAGAATGGGCTCGGATGTTTTTTGAATAGCCTTTGATAGGAAAGTGATAGAGGCTTGTGATCTTCATCAATTGAAACCAAAGACTTGATCCCATCTTCCCATCATGAACGTCATTTGAAAATCTTTTTCCACAGCACCTTTTCTAGAGAATCTTCAGAAAAACAAGTTATTGCCCAAAAACTTGAAATACAAATATTTTGGTTTTTGTCATGGATCGGTTGTCCAAAGTGTCCGCTTCAAGCCTGGAGTAAAGCGAGAGCTTGACTTTCCGCGATTCCATCGTGGTATCGGATTCTACTGGATAAATACTCTACATTCTAAAGCGTTGAACTCGTTGTGGTGTTTCCTGAGTGAATTTTAATATTAAGGTGAAAACAACCTCGAAACCTTCGTTTTCGCAGAAAACTGGTGATTGATTACCTATGTTCCATGCGATGCAAAGTTTACCCCTAGTCACCGGATGCTAGTCCTGGGACTCCAGTAGAATCCGATACCACGATGGAATCGCGAAAAGTCAAGCTCTCGCTTAACTCCTATGTTGAAGAGGACACTTCGAACTATCGACCCATGACAAAAACCAAAATATTTGTATTTCAAGTTTTTGGGCAATAACTTGGTTTTCTGAAGATCCTCTAGAAAAGGTACTGTGAAAAAAGATTTTCAAATGACGTTCATGATGGAAAGATGACATCAAGTCTATGATTTCAATTGATGAAGATCACAGGTCTCTATCACTTTCCTATCAAACGTTATTCAAAAAATATTCTTGCCTATTCTTTTTTTTACCAACAATACAGTGGGTCAGGAAATTCTAAATTAACGTTAGTAATTAAGAAATGTTCATACATGGTATTCTTCAAAATTGTAGGACTAACCGTAGTGGTTGTTAAATAAATTATGGAACTAGATTATATTTTTGTCATTTTGACTAGAAGGTATAAGCATCAGGTATTTTGACTATGTCATTTTGACTATGAGGTATGAGTACTGTGACCAGATTTCAAAGCAAAGTAGAATAGAATGACTAGTACTATAAGAAAAAGAGTAGAATAAATTTCGTGCGCAGATAGAGTAATTGCATAGAACATCGATAAAGAGGAAAGAGTAATAAAATTGCGTAGGACTATAAACATTAATTCACATGAAAATGCGACGAAAAATGTTTTGACTAGAAACTTAAAATGTTAAGCTAACTAATATAATTTTTTATTATCAGAAAATATTTTTAGGATGAATTTCAATCTTCTGAAGCTTCTTTTTTTTGGGTGTATAACTTCGATAATCTCCTAAATATCCTCCTATATTAGTACATGCATATACTAGTCTAAAAGACAGAAGTAAAGTGGTATAAAAGAAAGAATAATTAGTAGTAACAAATTCGTTCCTGAGACTAGGTTTTAGATATACATATCAGTAATATTACA